CTTTTAGTAGAGATGGGGTTTCGCCATGTTGGCCAAGCTTGCCTCGAACTCTTGACCTCAGGTGATCCACCCATCTCGGCCTCCCAAAGTGGTGGGATTACAGGCATGAGCCACCGTGCCTGGCCATAAATTCTGTATTTAAAATCATATCTATTAACTGAGAATAAAAGAGCATTTTATCTCTATGGGAAACTAGCAGAATTTAAGATAGGTGAAAAATCTATACAATACTCCAAATAATCTTTGCAATTGATAGCTATAGTGAAAGCCTTTCTGTTCAACACTTAAACATTTTTATTTTTCATCTTAAGAGAGATGTAAATTACAAAGCACATGCTGGCTCTAATGAAAGGTAGCAGCCAGTCTTCAAAATATACAGCTTTTCCTTAGTTTATACTTCATAAAAGAAAACAACACAGGTGATTTTATAGTTCTTTATGAATAATGCTATTAGGAAATAAGTGGATTTTGAGAAAATTAAGCATTTGAATATATTTTTCTTATTTGCAGCTCACCAGGACATGATTATAGCTTCTCAAGCTTATCTAAAATAAAGGATAATATATATATCAACATTTTTGATGAAATGATAACTGAAAAACATGAGGTAAAGTAGAATAATTATAATAGCCAATGCTGGAATAATTCTAAGGTCAAACTGAATGAAGTCTAGTAACACGTTTGTAAATATGATTTTAGATGCAATGTCTATATCCAACATTTTCTTGAAAGGATTTGAGGCAACTTGCAATAAAATCAAACATATGACAAGTCAGTTAAAAAATAACAGAGATCATAAACCACATATAGGAGGAGGAGGAATAAATATACCAAGAACTTGGGAGAAGTAGGTTTCTGCAATAGAACATTACATTTAAATGTGAGCTTTCTGTAGCCAATACAGAAATATAATAGGTTACATATTTCTCATTATCTGATCAAAGAAAATACACTACTCCTACAAAAGAGATCAAATTATTCCTAAGGCTAAAATTCAGTTCTACTTAATCTAATTTCTAAAATTACGGACTATCTTCCTCATAGTTGTGTAAAAGTTCCTAGCACAATGCCCAGCACCCTAGCAAGCTCTAAAATAAACGTTAGTTTCCTCCCTATTGAACTTGCTACTAAAAATATAAAAATGCATACCCATAGTATCTACTCTTTTAAGGTATGTAGATTAAATGCTTTAATAGAAATGTTTTCCAAATTCTATGGCAATGCTACTGAAGGAGCAATTAATTCTACCTGGAGGGACTGGGGATCCATGTCAGAGAAGTTGAACAAGACCTTGGAGAGTAAGGTACAGGAATGAGCCTTCTGTAAAAACCACTGCAAATCGTAATGACTATGTTTTCCAACCCAGTTTTCCAGGAGATACAACACATATTCTTCTTAAAGAAACTTTAAATCAACCATGATAAACGCTGAGGGTAAAATATTTAGCAATAATTTGGCGATAGCTTTTCTCCAAGGAGTTAAACTGAGTAATGTTCTGATGATCAACACTGATAATGGGTAAAGCTTAGAAAACCCAAAAGAATGTCTAACCAATTTTCTCTCTCAAAAGTGAATTATCTCAAAGACTAATTTGGTCAGAATTCAGTAGCAGTTGATTAACAACTGAACCCTTGAAACTGCTTTGCATTGTTATTAGAGTGAGATTGTTGTTATTGGAATGAGATCCACATGCTTTAGGTGTCAGACTTGTTTGTGACAATATTGGCATGCTCTTTAAAAAAGGAAAGGGCCTTGCATTCTTGCCCTCCTCTCATGGACAGGGTTTTAGGGGAGCTATGGGCCAAAACATTCCATTGTCTTGTAAAAGACTAGAGCTAGGCTGAGCCCCGAGATAGCTACGCAGTTGAAAGAAGGTTTTAAGTTATCACTGAACATTATTTTGTCTAGAAATGTTTCATTTTTCCTCTGTGCCCCTCCTGTATATTTTCTTCCCGCTATCAACTGTTTTCTTACTTCCTACAGATCTCCCTTTCTTTGGTTATGTATTAGCAGAAAGTTGAAGACTTGGAACTCTCACAGACACGTAGCCTATTTTTAATGCTCGGCATGAAAGAGATGGGCTGAACTGCCTTTGGAACTGGCAGAGCAAGCCCCATGCATACTCCAGATTTAAAACCTAGGTTAACTGAAAGTCTAACAGAAATCCCAGTAGCCACGGAAAGACCTTAAACTAACCCAAAACTCAGATATTGGTTTAAATACTTTTAAAAAATAGTTATTTTCAAGATTTTAAAATTTATTAGCATATAAATTTTCAGCATAGTCTCATAATTTTTGACTTGCCATTATCTACTCTCCTCTGACTTCTAACTTTATCCAACCTTGTCTTTCAAGTTTTAAAAAAATTATTTAATTTGGAAGATGTTTGACTATTCTTTAAAGAACCAACTACTGAAATTGTTTTTACTTTTCACTTTTTTGGTTTTCTAATTCATTTATTTCCATTTGTATATTAATTTTTTCTCCCTATTCCCCCAGGACTATAATTTTTGTATTTACTTTTGCCAAATGTATTGAATGCCTAGTTTGTTTGATCTCTTGCCTTAGCATAAATAATGGAAACATTTGGAGACTATAAATTTATCTCTGTAAATATCTTAGACTATGTATTTTATATTTAGTGACTTGTTTATTTTATATATGTAATATATATTATATACATATAATTAATATATAT